GGTCCTTGGCAACGTGCTCAGGACCCCTTCTGTCTGTCTGTCAGTCTGTCTGAGACAGAAGCTTTCTTTTCCCAATAAATGTATTCTGCTCTTAACCTCTGTTGTTCTTAAAACTCACTCTTTGACTTTAGATAACATGAAGTTGTACTAGATATCTAGCAGGGTGAATTTTTTTCCCCTATATCATCACCCTCTTGCATCCTCTTTTTTCTACTTGGGTGAATCTTCCCTCTCAGGTCTAATTAGAATGTCCCTGTTTGGGCATCAAATATTGGGGACCTGGACAAGGTCCTCAACTATTTGTATGAAGGTTTGTAAAAAGATGAAATAAGAAACAGACAAATTTAGCAATGCGTGATGAGGGGCTGGGAATCAATGCCTCAGGATGACCAGAGACCAAGGCACTCCAAGCCAGCCACTATTTACTAGCCAGGGTAGGGGAAGGGATAGGGCGCTTTTTCCTGGAACAGTGCAAAGGCTGTGGTAGGATGGGCAAGTTTAACATCATAAAGGAAACAAGCTAAGATCCATCCCCGTGCCTAGGTGCTAATTTCATTGACCCAGAGTAAGGCAGGAAGGGCAAGGAGCTCCTAGGACAGATGCTATGGCTATTTACAATTCCTGGTCCCCAACATTTTCTTAGAATGAAGTAAAAACGCAACAGAACAAGATAAAAGCCAATTGAGACAATGTAGTGACACTGTACAGAAATTCACAGCAGGATACTGGGATAGTAGTAATAAGTACCATAGTATATCTCGTTAATTTCACAATATTTGTCCAGTCAATTAGGTATAGAGAAATCAAACCAATACAGAACATTGTAAAACCAATTGAAGGAGAATACTGAGTAGAGCAAAACAATCATTACAAAACATAACAGTGAAAATAACCTTTGCCTTGAAACAGAACATAAAAGGAAATCCCCCATGTTTGCTATATTGCATATGGTCATCCTCCCAAGAGATGCTCAGAACTCTGTCCCCGGTTTCTGATGGGGTTGGGGGGGAGATGTTTGATTCTCAGCCTGAGTGCCAGTAGGCTCACGGGAACAGTGGGAACAGCTCACTGGTTCTCCTCCCGGCTGGCACCAGGGGCGCTTACCAAGATGGTGGGCAAATAGCCTTTTTATGTAGCCACCTAAGTCCCAATATGGCCGAGTCTTGGGTAGCTGCTTCTGGTCCTCCCCAACATTCTTAATTGATCAAATCAGTAAGTTTGTTCAAAATAGTAACATCTATGATGTAGTCAATGATAAAATGACAGACATGTCATGAGTGATAGTAGGTAGGAATTGAGAATAATTATAAGATATTATGCTAACCATGAAATGGTATGGTGACATACTGGAAAACAGACTTGGAATAGCTGTAACTGTTAATACTGAACTCAAAGATAAAGACTTAAAAAGTGAAAAAGGGGATGCCAGGCGTGGTGGTGCATGCCTGTAATCCCAGCAATTGAAAAACTAAAGCAGGAGGCTTGCTGCAAATTTAAGGCCAGCCTGAAGTACACAGCAAGACCTTGTTTCAAAAAAGAAAAGAAAGAAATTCATTTTAAATATGAAAACCCAACAAATTAAAAATTACAGAGATGGCTGAAGATATACCAGCCTAATAACTAATCAAAAGAAAGCAACCCATTAATTTCAGGCAGAGTAGATTTCAACACAAGAAAATGTCTCAGAGTTACATTATGATAAAGGAGTACTCCAAGAAGACCTAATAATGTGTATGTGCCTAACAAAAGGATATAAACATATAAGAATTGATAGAACTGCAAGAAGAAATAGATGAATTTGCAATTATAGTTGGAAATTTCCACTCTTCCCTCAAAATCTATGAGAAAAATCAGTAAGACATAGTTGAACTTAACCATCAAGCAACTGGAACTGAAATCTTTAGGCTTAATTTATCCAACAATAGTACAGTACACATTTCTCTCAAGCTCACAACACAGTCACAAAAGCAGTCCACATTTTGGACTATAAACACACCTAGGTAGCCAAGCATGATGGTGCACACCTGTAATCCCAGCTACTTGAGACCTGATTACATGGATGTTTATGATAAAAACTATAGACCATTTATTTAGATTTTTTGAGAAAGGGTTTTACTATGTAGTTCAGGCTAGCCTTGAACTGGTAGGGATCCTCCTGCCTCCTGTCTCCTGGGATTACTCGTGTGCACCACAATACCTGGCAACAATATATTTTTAGATAGAGGAGTATGTCTTAGTTACTTTTCTTTCTTTCTTTCTTTCTTTCTTTTTTTTTTTTTTTTTTGGTCTTTTTTCATTTTTATCAGTACCAGGGATTGAACTCACGACTGCCTGCTTGCAAGGCATTAGTTACTTTTTTTGTTGAGACAGAATACCTGGCAACCAAAGTTAAAAGGTCAACAGGTTATTGGTTCACAGATTATACAGGTTACAATCCATAACTTCTGGTTCCAAGGCAGGGTGGTGGCCAACAGAATTTACAGAGGAGAAACAATCATGGTGGGCAATAGGTAGCAAAGCAACAAGGCCCCGGCATCTTTCTGCCTTTTCTCTTACCCAGATTACTTAGGGCGGGTAGTGCTCAGACCTTAATCCTCGTGCCCTTGAGCCTAGCATTACACCATGAATCCACTTCAGTTTCATACCTAAACCCAGCCACCTCTGAAAAGGTCTCTCTTATGCAGCATATGTGAGTACTCTAGACAGTCATGACAATATTTTATTAAATGTGGAATATAATAGTTTTCTATATTGAGAGAGAAATGTTCATATCATAAAGAAAATGTATGTAGTATGATTCCACTTTTGTAAGGGAGTATCAAGCTAAAAATGCCATATATACATATTTATAAGAGCATAATTACAAATGTGTATATAAATTTGGATGTATAAAAATATACATCCAACATTTTTTTTCAAATCCATTTTATTGAAGGATAAAAAGAAAGAAAAAGCAGAAAAAACTACAAGAAAATTTCAAAGCATGTCATTCACGGGGCAACAATGGTACTCACATTGTGCACTGCCATCCCTAAATCACTCACCCAGAGCACAAGGCATCTGCATTCCATTGTATGAACAGTATCAGCACAAATCTTTCTCTTCAGTGAACTCAGAGAAATCAGTAGTATAACTATCTTAATTTTTTACATACATACACCTATACGTTTTTTCTGTCACACTAGTGAAACAATGTTTACATGTGTCTTATTTATTTCACTGAATATGTTCTCAAGTTGCATCCATTTACCTATAAAAGTGTCCAGTTTATCCTATTTATGGATGAATAGTACTCCATTGTATAAAAATTCATCTTTTTAATCCATTCTTGTCGATGGGCATTTAGGTTGTTTCCAAGATCTGGCTATCATAACCTGTGCTGCTGTAAACATGGGTGCACATGTAACACTGAAGTATGAGGTTTTTAATTCTTTTGGGAAGATAGCCAGAAGGGGAATAATTGGGTTGAATGGGACCTCCAGCCCTAGTTTTTTGAGGAATCTCCACACTGATTTTCACAGTGGTTGTACCAGTTACACTCCCACCAACAATGTAAAAACAGTTTCTTTCCCCCACAGCCCCTCCAGCACTTAGTATTGCTTGATTTTTTGATAACAGCCTTTCTTTCCAATGGATTTGAATTCAACTATGTAGCCCAAGCTGCCTGAAACTCATGGCAATTTTCCTGCCTCAGCCTTCCAAATGCTGGGATTACAGGAGTGTACTACCATGCCCAGCTGGAGACTTTTATAAGGATATTAATCCCATTCATGAAGGCACCACTTGAATGATCCAATTCTCTCCCAAGGGCCCATCTCTTAATACCACCATCTTGGGTTTAAAAATTTCGACATATGTATTTGTGGAAGGCATAAACATTCAGATCATACCATAGACCCTTAACAGATACACAATTTGCAAATATTTTTTCATTTTGTGGGTTGTCTTTTCAGGCTTTTGTGTACTAATTTTTTCAGTCATTGCTTTTGTTTTTGTTCTGCCATATAGAATCTGTTGCCAAGTCCAAGGTCACATTTACTCCTACTTTCTTCTAGGGGTGTTATATTTAGGTCTTTGAGCCATTCTGTTTTTATATATAAGGCTATACTTCATTCTTTTGCATGAACATCCTGTCATCTCAGCACTATTTCTTGAAGATACTTGTTCCCTGTTGAGTGGTGTTGGCTTTTATCAAAGTCAATCACCCTTAAATATATGGGTTTATTTTTGAAGTCTCAATTTTATTCTACACATTTTGTTTATCCTTGTACCACAGCCACATTTTTTTTTTTTTTTTTTTTTTGTCTTTTTGAGTCAGGGTCTTACTATGTAGTTCAGGCTTTGAGTTCACTTTGTAGCCCAGGTTTATCTTGAATTGGCAATGTTCCTCCTGCCTCAGCCTCCAAGTGCTGGGATTACAGGCATGCATCACACCCCACTCACAGCCACACTCTTGATTTCTGTTAACTGTGCACCATTTGTAATGAAGAGTTGTGTCCTTATTTGGGCTCATGAGTACTTGAGGTCCCTTGCAATCTCACATGAATTTTAAAATGTTCTTCGATTTTTGAAAAAACAAAAAAGTAATTTTGATAGGGATTACGCTGAATTTGTACATGAAGAGCGGCAGTATCACCATTCCCCCCCCACCACCACCAGGGATCAATCCATACACTTGCAAGGCAGGTGCTTATGCCGCTGAGCTAAATCCCCAGCCCCAGTATCACCATCTTAAAAATATTATACAAGTCACTATGACCAAAATTCTGAGAAGATAATTATTTCCTTCAATTTGTAACTTCCGTTAACTCTTGCCAAAATAAATGAGCAGGCAGACAGATTTTTGGATTTGTAATTTATGACCAAGTTATAGACTTGGAATAAGAACCTTTCACTTGGGGCTGGAAATTTAGCTCAGTGGCATAAGTGCCTACCTTGCAAGCAGGCAGTCATCAGTCCGATCCCTGGTACCGATAAAAAAGAAAAAGACAAAGAGAACCTTTCACTTTTTCCTCAGAACTTTATTAACTTGGTGGGAAAATGCCAAGAGTTTTTAAAAAGGAATTATTTCAGGTGAATAAGGCTATCACAATAATATATCCAACTGCTGCCTTTCTCCTGGATCCAAAAATATCTAGAGGACTAGGAAAAAAAAAAAAAAAAAACAGCCTTTACTTGGAACATCACTTTTTCCATACACTTCTGCATCAACTTTCTGATTAATTTAAGGTTAACCAAACACAGAACAATCTCCACCTTTTAATATTTGCTTTTTTTTTTTTTTTGAGCCAAGGTCTTGCTATGTAGCTCAGGCTGGCCTTGAACTCACAGCAATCCTCTGCCTTAGCTTCCAGAGTTCTGGGATTACAGGTGTGTACCACACCTGGCTTCACCTTTTAATATCTGAAATACTGTTTCATCTCCCCGATTTAAGTATTTTGGCAAAGCAAGAGACATACAACAATATTCTGATGGACCTAATATGGATCTAATAACAGTTCCTAGACACTGTCCCTCAGTCAGTGTGACTCTTGAGTAATTTCAGTGGGAGGCCATGAACACTAATGCTTCTGCTGGAGAGAAGTCACAATAGGATCTAGGATGAGGGAATTTACCAGGGGCCAAGAATACTGCCTTAGCTATCAGTAACTTTTTATCTCAAAGGAAGCAATTAGGTTAAACATTAAATCTCAATCATTTTTTAATCAGCTCTTGGCAGCTCTCATATTTCACTCACAGGATTTACTCAGCAGGAGTGGATTAAATACAGTGGTTCCAAATCTAGAAGTCATCAGAATCATTAGGTGGAACTTTCAAAAGACAGGTTGGAAATACTCCCTTAGGGTTTAGTATGCCTAAGGACAGGGTCCAGGCATTTCCAGTTAGAAAAGTTTCATGATTCAGTTGAGAAGCTTACATTTAAGGAGACATTCTTCTCTAAGTCACACTGTAACTCACTTTAATGATTAAGTGAATCTGATGAGAGAAAAATAATTTCCTCCTTTATAATCTGTATCATCTTATATCTTGGTATTGTAAAAATTTTGCTAATGGGAACACTGCCTTTTCCAGGAGTAGCCAATTCCTAGTTATAAAACTTGACAGCATGCCACTCATAAGCAAGGCAACTACTCCCACTGATTCATATACCTTGCCATGCAATTATTTCCTTTGCCCTCCACCATTTGAGTTAGATGCCAGACAACCAGTCTTCCTCTCAACCCAAAGTCCACTGCAATTACTTAAACTAGCCTATTCTAAAACTTGTACTCTGCCCTGACTTGCCTAAGCTATGATGGTGGATCTATGGTACGTGTGCTGTCGCAGGCTGCTTGTGTCACTGAAAGCTCTAAAAGGTTCAACACCACTGGCCTAGGCTCTAGCTTTGCGCTTCCTCATGACCAAAACTTGATGCTTCCCTCTTTAGCCTTGCTTGGTGTGTCACACATAATTTTGTGAACAACTTAAAAACCACTGAATTACATATTTCATTTTTAAGTATATTTTTTCTTATATTTATATTGATACATAATTATACACAACTTATGGGGTACAATGTATTGTTTGGATACCTGTAAACACCGTGTAATGATCAAATCCGAGTAATTAACATATCTATCACTACAAACATTTGTCATTTCTTTGTAGCGAAACACTCAAAATCTTTCAGTTATTTTGAAATAACTATTTGTTAATTAGAGTCACCTTATTGTGCAAAACTTAGAAAAGTATAATCACAGTGCATATCCTGACTCACAAAAAAAATTTGTAACAGCTGAAAAACAAGTGTATTTTTGTAACAAATAACTGGGTTTCAGCCAAATACAAACAGTTGAGCTTCAGCCAATCCCAGGCTCCCAATGGATGAGACCAAGTCCAACCAAGGCAACAGCTCTTTGTAACTAATCAAAATACTTCTATACTTACATCTGTGTTCAGCTACATAACCACAACGCCTCTGCTATGCGGCAGAATTCTTTGAACCTCTTTAGAGTGCTGCCTGATTTATGAATTGTTCTTTGCTCAAACTGTTAAGATTTATTTGCAGTTTTTTAAAAAAACACATAAAAGCATCACAGATATCAGAAATACAAAACCCCAGAATCACATTCTTTTTTTCACAGAATTAGCAGGTGTGTGTCACTGTTTCTTTTTAAGTAATTTACTTCAGTGTTCCTTGCTTTTAGTTGCTGGACTGCCTAAAACTTCAATCTTGCCTTTTCCAGCTTCTGAATTAGGAAGTTTAATATTATCCATGGTGATGCTGTCATCCTCATTTGGAGAATCTGAACTGTCATCCGAACTTTCTTGGGAGCTCTCTTCTGAACTATCTTCTTCTTTTGAATCTGCTTGATTCATCTCAAATAAGACCACATCCATTTGTATAACTTTGTCTAGGGTCCTGTCAATATTTTCAATATTGAAATGACCAGGGGGTGTGGCTTCCATTTCTTTTCTGAGCTTTTCATTTGCCTGGGCCATCTGTGGGAGAAAGTTCTGAACTTGGTCTAGTAATGGACTCCTCTCTATCCGAACTGTTTCAAGAGTAGAGGATTTTCTGGAATTAGGCTTGGAGTTGATGAGCAACTTGTCCCATATACCTCCTGGGCCATTACCCGCAGTCAGTAGCTCTTTGGATACTGAGACCCCTGAGCAGTTCTGGGTGGGAGTTGAAGAACTTGAGCCTGCACAAGACTTGCTGTGGACCTCCATCTCTCTGCAGCCAGCCTGAATCACACATTTAAGTAAGTATATTTTACAATATATGAATTATATCTTTTAATTAAAAAACTAATGAAACATACCATCTTTTCTGCCAACCTAACCTTTCACATTTCTCTGTCATTCATTATTTTAGTCATGAAATAGATGCTAAATGCTAAAGCCAAAAATCTACCAATTAGATCCTGGCATTTCTAATATTTTAATGCTACTCCATTCTGTCCACTTTGTATCATTAATCAGGCCACCCACATTTCTCAGCTGGTCTATTGCTGTCGCCCATGGTCTTTAATCTTTCCCTTCCCTTTTCTCATTTTTTTAAGCTGGAATCTTGACAGTTCAGGCCTCCAGAATGCTGGGATTGCAGGTGAGTGCCACCACGCATGACTTAAAAAAATTTTTTTTCTTGATAGGGTCTCAGCCTTGAATTCAAGTAGCTCAGGCTGGCCTCGAACTTGCAGGCATCCTCCTGTCTCAGCCTCACCAGTGCTGAGATTACCACACCGGGCAAAATGTTAAAAAGGTCTGGTGAATGTAGCTCAGGTACTCAGCTCAATCCTCAGTATCACCATCACCACCATCACCACCTCCACACACACCAAGTTGAAAATGTTATACACCAAAAATAATTTATGCGTGGGGGTGTGCAGCTCTACTACTCCTTTCAACGCTGCATTTAGAACAACTTTTAAAAACAAAATCTTCAGCAGCTATAGATGGCCTTAGATTGCAGTTGCAATCCTTAACACGATTTATAAGGTCCCTCTTAGCTAAACGTGGTGGCTACGCCTATAATCGCAGTACTCAGGAGCTGAGGAAAAGGGATCATAAAGGTCGAGTCCACCTTGACCAATTTTGTATTTTTTCAAAATACATCACAAAAAGGGTTGAGGATGCGGTTCATCCCTAGGTTCAATCTCCAGTACCAAAAATAAACGGAACGCCCTCAAATTTCAGCCATGATGAACTTCACCCTCGCCTGGCCCTCGTGCCCTTCAGTAAGATTGCGCTCAGTTTCTACAGGAGCGGTCTAACTCCATCGAGCTACCGACTCTGGACCTCGCTTCCGGCGGCGGGCTACAGGAGGAACCTCCACGGACCTGGATCTGGTGCCTCTCCTATCCCCCTCTACTGTCTCCATAGTCAAGTGTGCTCCAACAGGGCCGCTACCATGCTCAAGAAACATTTCCTTAAAAGTGCCACAGTGCCCCAAACCACCCTAATTCTTCCTTAACACTTACAACGCCTTCTAACGCCTTCTCTCAGGACGACCACAAGTCTGCCAAACGCGGCTTCCGCCCAGTCCTAAGCACTCCGGAAATACTTGGCGCCGCGTTGCCGCAGAGGGATGATGGGAAAATAACACATCCCGCCTCTCGCGTGCACGCCCGCTCTGCGCCTACCCAACTCGTCTCTGTAGTGGCGCAGACGGCGCATGCGCAGATGCATGGGTCTCTATTGAGACGGTGTCGCGGTGGCGCGGGAGGTAGGAGGAGTCGGGATTTTGGGCTGGGAGTCCGCGCCCTAGAAGAGGGAGGCCTGTCAACTCCGGCTATTCTCTCTTTCGAGTGACCAGAGCTTTCTTCGCTTGTATTCCATGGTGCGCCCCCCTTTCAGGCCGGTAGTCGCGGCGGAGAGGGGCCAGCCTAGAGGGAGGCAGGAGGGTGGAGCAGGATAACACGATGGGTTCGGCCGGGAGCTACTCCACTGATTGGGCTCTTTCGTCTGGTTTTAGGTCCCAGGAAGCCGGATTGGGAAAGGAGGGAGGGTCGCTCCGCCCTGGTTCATTCATTCATTCATTCATTCATTCATTCCCTTCGCGCCTGCTGGCAGCCGGCACCCCTGGAGGTGGAGAAAGCTGAGGAGTCCCTTGTCTTCGGGGACCTTGCAACCTTGTAGGATTCGTTGTAACGACATTCAGCAACATTGGTTGAGCACCTGAAGGGGTGGCCTGTCTTGAGACAGCACAGTGTGAAGTTTACTGTCTACTCCCCACATCTAAGAGGGTAAATTTTAGTTTGCTGTATTTAGCCTGGTGTTTCAGGACCTTGTGAACTCACCTCTGCTTTTTGCTGCAGACTTTTTTCATCCCTACCACTTTATTTTCACTCTGATTACATCAAACTCTGTATTTTATGAATTCAGCAAATAGTTATTGAGCACTTATTACAACTCAGGTACCAGATGAGCTAAAGAGAATACAAAACAAAGTAAGTCTGTGTCCTCAGTGTGTTGAACTTAGCTGTTGCACTGATAGTCAATGTACAAAAACACAGGAGCTGGTACACTGAAATCATGCTGCCTGTTTGATCTCTACCCTATTACTCCAAATACTGTGTGGCACGAACTGGTGTAAAGAAAGAATGACAAGCAGAGTGTGGTATCAAAGGCCTCGAATCCCAGGTTGAGGCAAGAGGATGGCAAGTTTGAATTCAGTTTGGGCAGTTAGCAAGCTAGCAAGACCTTGTCTTAAAATAAAAAAATAAAAAAGATGCTGATTATGTTGGTCAGCATTGGGAAAAAAGAAGGTGACATCAGATTCTGTTGTATAGGATTACTGTAAGGATTAAATGAGTTAAAAGACTTAACAGTTGGAACGGTATCTGGCACACAGTAAACATTCAATAAGTGTTATGTATTACATATAATCTGATAAGTGCTGTTGTAAAAATCATGTGTGATGGGCTGGAGATTTAGCTCAGTGGTACAGTACGTGCCTGGCAGTGTGAGGGTCTGATTTCAATTCTAAATACAAAAAAACCTCAAAGCCATGTATCATGATTGAGAGTGTGGAGAAGGGTGTGGAAAGGACTGGTTTGAAGGAGTGTGAAGGCCTCTCTGAGGAGGCAACGTGACTAGACTGAGCCAATCATACACAGTAAATTTTAGGGACATCTGTCTATTCTGGAAAACTGCACAATGAATCAGATTATGTGGGCAATGGAGACTGCATTACTGTATTTGTTGTTTGTTTGTTTGTTTGTTTTTGGGTTTTTTGGTACTGGGAATCAAACTTATAACCTTGCACTTGCCAGGTAGGGACTTACACTGCTGAGCTAAATCCTTGGCCTGCTTTACTGTATTTGAAGTAAAGAACTTCCTGCCATTAGGTCATCCAGTATTTATTTATTTAGATTTTTCAGAGTCTTCACTATGTAATTCAGGCTGGCCTTGAACTCACCTTGCAGTCCAGGCAGGTATCAAACTCATGGCAATCCTCCTGCCTCATCCTCCTGAGTGCTCAGTTTACATTTTTTAACCCCATTGAGCTGTGTGCCAGAGTATACAATCATGCTGATAGGGCCAGCCTTTGCACATAAGCAGTGTTGCAGTCACCTGAGTTTGGAGAGGTCTTGTGGGCTGAGAGGTGGAGAAAGCAGACTTTTCTGTTTTGACTGTTTAGATGCTATGCATGATTTTCTCTCATGTTACAGCTTTGGTAATATATTCTCTTAGGTGATAAAGCTTATGGCGGGGGGTCTTCAATGTAGGATCCCTAGATTTGGGGATCATCCTGTTTCTGTGGCAGCTGCCATTCATGGGGTTCTGCAGATTTCAGTAAAAACAACTTCTCAAGATGCACAGATTTTTCTTCCTCTGGAAGCATATGTGACAGCAGGTTTCTAGATGCCTCTCCTGTGTTACGCTGTGATGTCCTGTAGGACAAGCTGAGCTTGCGGCAGAGTACTTTTACTCTGGAGACTTCTCCCATGTACCACGTGCTCTTGTACCTTCCTGAAAGAAATCACATAAAACAACATCTGTCTAATTACACTTGGATGTTTTTGGTTTTCCACAGGTTAAAAAATTAAATGAAACCCATGTACTTCATCACCATGGAAATCCTGGAGAATCTGATCGCTGAATTCACATGTAATCTACTGCCAAGACAACTATTGCACCACAAAACGTTCTCTGAGTTGTGAACTTTTAACAGACAGAAGCTTTAAATAATGTTGTTTAACCACAGGCCTATTATAAAGAAAAACATTTAAATCATTTCGAACCGGAAAACAGTACTTTTTGTCAGTTGTGCAAATTTTCCAAGTAGTAGGTTAGCAAGTGGTAGGGAAGAACCTTAGTGAGGCCAAGCGGTGAATGAAGCTCCGCTAGGCAGGTGTACAGGTTCCTGTTCTCACCTGAGGACAGGCCCCAAGTTGGGCCTCACTCCCCTGAAAACCAGCCTGAAAGCCTTAAGACTGCTCAGAAGATGGATGACTCGGATGATGATTTTAAAGAACTCTGTGCCAGCTTTTTCCAAAGGGTAAAAAACGGAACCAAGGAAGTGTTCGGAGAAAGGAAGACACAAAAATCTTCAAAGGGCACTCAAATAAGAAGCATATCGAAAAAAACCAAACAGTCTGCCACCAGGAACAAAACCCTTCCAGGCACTTCAAAGAAACCTCAGTCATGCAGTCAAGCCCCCAGGGCTAAAAAGCGAGGAGCAACCAAGTCTCAGGAAAGTGAGCCCACCCTCCCTGTGAGTGGAGACGGAGATGTGCTTGCTCCTGTTCTGAATCAGGCTGTGCTGCAGAATGAAGCACAGAGCATCCAGACAGGTAATCCATTAAGAGCCATTGTCAGGCCTTTCTAGGAAGGATATAGGATGATTGGTACTGTTTTAAACTTATTTATTTATTTTGGTGCTTGCCAGGCAGTTGTTAGTGTTTTAAACCAAGGGTCTGACCTTTCTAAAATGGCCAGATATAAAATATTTCGATTTTGCAGGCCATATAGTCTGTACCACAACTGCAGGTGACACTGAGCATCTTTGAGTTCCAAATCTGTAGATTAAACCAATCTCATTTGAAAAGTATTAGAAAAAAATTATATTGAACCTGTACAGAAATTTTTCATGTCATTGTTCTCTAAACAATAGAGTGTAATAACTACATAGAAGTTACATTGTATTAGATATTATAAGTAATATAGGCATAACTGAAAGCACAAGGAAGAATGCACCTAGGTTATATGCAAATAGTATACTATTTTGTAAAAGGGACTCAACATTACGGAGTTTGGTATTGTGGGGGGAGGGCCCTGGACCCAGTTCCCTCGGGCCACAGGACAACTTTACCCAACTCTGCTGCTGTAGTGAACGCAGCAGAATAGGACAGTATGGAGATGAGTAAGTGTGACTTTATGCCAGCTTTATTTACAAAAACAAGCTGCTAGCCCCAGGAACAGTTTGTGGACTCCTGTTTTAAGCAGTAGTCATAAGAAATAAAACTCCTGTGTGAATTTTTTGCATGATTTTGTTTTGAGCCCTCCACTTTTTCAGAATTTACACAAACATGAAAATACGTTGAATGAGCCGGCACTTTTGGCTACTAAAGACTGTGGGAGAGTACAGTATGGGTTTAAGTCTTAGGATGTATTCAGGACCTTCTTTCTCTTCCCCCAAAGACTTTCTTTTTTGTTTGTTTACAGCAGCTTTCTTGCCATGCTGCTCTTGGTGTACGAAGCCAGATGCTTAGGATACATTCTTCATGCAGAACTGAAAATCACCCTTGCATATATAATGCACAACAAACTCTTTGGGCTCCTGAGTTCTGTTTCTAAATTTTCCTCACCTTCACTTCCTGACCTTTTGTTTTGCTTTGCTTTTCTAGTGTGGAAACAGCTCGTCTCAGGAGTAGTGGAAAGTCTTATTTCTCAGGGATGGTTATAAAACTTCAGTAGTGTACACAGGTGCTGTTAATCCTTCATGCTCCCTTCGTGCATCTGATAAAAGCACTGTGTGACTCCCCAGAAAACCCAGTCCACATGCATACCTACAAAATTGACAGTCAGCTTCAGGGGTTTGTAGATCTCTACTGAAGGCGAAAATTAGAACAAATGTAGAAAAAAACATTTGCCCTTAAGTTTTTTCTCCAATACCAGAAATTGAACCACTGGGTATTGAACCCAGTGCCTTCACATTGAGCTATAATCACCCTTGTGCCCTGCTCACTGTGTTGTGCAGGCCAAGCTTGAACTTGTGATCCTCTTGCTTCAGCTTCAAGGAGTTGGGACGGTAGGCATGTGCCACTGCTTGGTAACTGCTTTAATATAATAGCTTGAGATACAATTCACATTTCACAAAATTTCTGTCTTAAACAATTCATTGGTTTTTAGTATATTCACAATTGTGCCAGTGCCACTACCACTTAATTTTAGAACATAAACCTCATGTTCCCCAGCAGTCACTCCCCACTTCCCTTCTGTCATTGATACTTACGTTTATACTGCTGCAAGCTATTAGATTGCTAACAAGCAATCTTTCTTACTTACATTTGCTAGTCAACCTAAACTTGGTAAACTCGGTTCTAGCCTGTATTTGGAGGGAAAGTCTTCCTTCTCGAGGTGAAACATGCTGTGAATGTTTTGCTCCTTGCTAGTAAATGCTTCCAATGGCGACTCCCAGTCTTCTCTGTCCTGTTCGATGACAACAGCTGTGCCAAGTCCCTCCAAACCCCGCACTGCAGAGCTGGTTCTTCAGCGGATGCAGCAGTTCAAGAGAGCAGACCCTGAGCGTTTGCGACATGCACAGGACTGTTCCCTTGAGGCTACCCTGGAAGAAAATGACCCACAGAGTCTTCAAGAGGAGATGGTGGCAGGAAACGGTATGAGGAACATACATGTTCCATCTTCCAGAGGTAAGTTACAGTACGGAAAGAAAAGAGGCTGTGAATGGGCCTTCTGCCTGGAGTTTATCTTTGCCACCCTACTGGGTCTAACTAGAAAATGAATAGTTCTTGGTCATTTCTTACTCGACTTGTTTGACAAGGCACTTCTTGCTTTTTTTCTTTTTTAAATTCAGGACATTTTACTTATTATTCTGCTTTAGTCTTCTAGGTGCTAGCATTATAGGCATGTATCCTAATATCTGGCCCTCTTGTTTTTATTTTTTGACTTTTTGTCATGAAATTTTTCCCTTACAGAAGTTTTTTAAAATTACAGTGAGGATCCCAGCACTCGGGAGTCTGAAGCATGAGTATTACTGTGAATTTGAGGCTAGCCTTGGCTAAATAACTAGTTCAAAGCTAGCCTGTACTACAAAGCCTGACCCTGTCTCAAAAATACCAAAACAAAAACTAAAAACTACACCAAAAAAAATTCCCTTAGAAATTTAGATTGTTTCCCACTTTCTTCTATGATGTTGAATGGTGTTATGGCTGTCTTTGTACTTTGTACTGTGCTAGTATTTTATAGGATCCACATAGAGTAGCAACTACAGTTCAAAAACAGGAATATCTGCACCTTAGTTGATATTACTAAGATACATGCTAATGCTTTTCAAAATGCTTTACACTTTTACATTCATTCCAAGTATCGATTTTACAGAATTTCGGCCAAGCATAGGTATCATTAGTCTATAATTTTACTGATCTTTGTTATTTTTTGTTTTGTTTTGGTCTTTTGTCTTTTTGAGACAGGCTCCTTACTATGCAGTTCAGGCTGGGCCTGAGCTCACTTTATAGCCCAGGCTAGTCTTGAACTTGGAGTAATCATTGTACCACTGCAAGAGGCACATAATGTAGATGGCTTTTTCTATTGCCTCAGCCTCCTGAGTGCTAGGATTAATTTTACTGATCTTTTTAGGCAAAAATAAAATTACAGTGAACATAGCTGGATAGTAACCCCACCATTTGGGAGACTGAGGCAGGATTGCCAGGCTACATAAAGAGTTCAGGTATGGCCTTAACTATACAGTGAGAGCCTTTCTGACACAAATTATAGAGACCCTCCACTTAGATTTAACAATTAACATTTTACCATTTTATACATGCACACGTTTTTGTTTTGTTTTTCAGATCTTAATTGGTTTTATTTATTTATTTATTTTTGGTACCAGGGATTAAACTCACAACCTTGTACTTGTCAGGCAGGCATTTATGCCGCTGAGCTAAATCCCTGGCCCTAATTGGTTGTATTTATAATTCTTAAATTGGCAAAATGGACCAAAAATAATTCTAAGTACTCCTGCCATGTATTTTTTTATGTCTTTATAAATACATGTTTTTCTTCTGTGTCCTTGGAAATTAAGGTATAAACATCAAGACATTTCACACCTGCTTAACCACAATACCATTGGCCATGCCTAATGCCATACTACTGCCTGGCATCTAGTTCAGATTTCCCCAGGGATCCAAACAGATCTTTTATAGCTGGTTTTCTTTCTATGATAAGGATTCAATATAAATCCACACACTAAAAGAAAAGAAAACCTACTAAAAATTAAATAAATAAATAAATTCATACACTACATGTTGCTATAGTTTAATCTCTTAAGATTAGATTCTAGAATAGTCCCCTTGGTTTGGTTTTGTTCTGTATTGACATTAACTTTTCTCTCTCTCTTTCTTTTTTTCTTTTCTTTTTTTTTTTTTTTTTTTTTTGAGACAGGGTCTTGCAATGTAGTTCAGGCTAGCCTCCAACTCAAGGCAATCCTGCTGTCTCAGCCTCCTGAATGCTGGAATTAGAGATGTGTGCCACCATGCCCAGCTTCACATTAACTTTGTGCTTTCTGAATTTGATTATTTCCTCATGACATGATTTAACTCCTTCCTCTTATGTTTGTGTTTCTGATATGCTATAAGTAAACCTGAGGTCTGATTTAACACCTCATCTTAATTTTTGTATTTTGGGTACACTGTAAGTAAATCAGAGGTCAGACTGGCTCTAGGTTATACAGTTCGGTGATCATGCACCACAGGTGCTTTGTGGTTCATTGCACCACTGCAAGAGGCACATAATGTAAATGGCTTTTTCTCTTGCCTGTGCAATGTGGAGTCTCATCTCTAATAAATGTATATAGAAGAAAAATCAGGAAGAAACCATAGTGATGGGCGTAAACTGATCAGTGTAGAGTCTCTTGGAATTGCATTTGCTTATTTCCTCATGAGAGCACTGACAAGTTTCAGGTTGCCCCAAAGGTCCACAATATGCAGTACTTTGATCTGCTGAGGATTGGTTTTCTCTTGGCACAAATGGAGAGGCCCAGGAGTCACTCAGGCAGTGTTTGGGCCTGGCACCAGCCCTACATTTGATTCAGTTTTTCTCCATGTATTTTCATATCATACCCAACAAATGCTTAAGAAGGAATACTTCATTTCTTTGTTTAAAAAATAAAGGAACACTGAACATGTAACTAAATGGTAGAGTGCATTCTTAGCATGTATGAGGCCCTGGGTTCAATCCATAGCAAAACACACACACACACACAAATGGAACCACAATGGCTTCAATGGCAGGAGCATTAGGCCATAGTGTTGAAGAACTTATGACCTGTGAAGTTTTGAGCATATCCCTTGTGAGTGCTGCAGCTTTGCCCTACTGGTATTGAGTAGGCCACCTTGGGATGGTCTCAAGACCAGAATCCATCCATCCTTTGGTTGGGAAACTCTTGCCTTATAACTGCCAAAGTTCATTCACTCTACCTTGGTTCTTCATGGACAGTAAAAGGTCAGCAAGAGGAAAGGCTGAACTTTAAGGAGAAAACCTAGATTCATTGGAATGGGAGCTGTGTGACCTTGCAGTGTCTGAGGCCCAGACTTTAGCAGAAAGGGGAAAGATGAAAGGCATGTGCCTAAGGATCTAGATACTCAGAGTGGGTCTGGCCCACCAGCATCATCACACCTGGTGGCTGTTAGAGATACAAAGTCCCTGGCTCCACTAGAACCTCCTGAGTCCATGCCCACATTTTCATAGACTCTAGGTGTGCCATGTGTATATTGAAGTTTGGCAAGAGCAGTTCCCTGAGTGCTCCCAGGGCACCATCTCAGGCAGAGCAGTATTGGATTCTGGTTTCTTTGTGCTCTGCCTGGTGTTCATGCTGTGAGAGGCAGAGACATGACACAGAGGTCTGGGGCTAGCCTGTCTTCACAGATCTTTGGTGCTTTCCCCAGGGAATGGACTGGGGCTCCCTGCCACAGACAGTGATGCTGCAGTGGCCTTGGTTCTGCAGCAAGAGTTTGGAAGGGAAGGTACATCTGTGCAGGATGAGAACCTGGAAGAGAAAGGGTTGTTCTTCTGCCAGATATGTCAGAAGAACCTCTCAGCTATGAACGTGACCCGGAGGGAACAGCACGTGAACAGGTAGGAGCAGCAGCACAGACCATCGCCTTTCCCATGGCAGTGACCTGAACTGAGAGTACCCCAAGGCTTTAGGAGGACTCTAGACTTTCTGCATGATAATAGCACCTCAGCATACCCTTTTTTTCTAGACAGTTTTATCTAGGTAGAATTCTAGATAGAATTCACACATTTCAGCCATTTAAAGTTCATTGTCCTAGGGCTACTACATCCACATAATTGTATAGCCATCACCACCATCAGTTTTCGTTTTGGACTATTTTGATCACCTCTAGAAAGAAGCCCCATCCAGTTACTCCCTGTTGCTTCTCCCTCATTTCCCCCATAATAACTAGCCAACTTTCTGTGTCTATGAATTTGCTATTGGTCACTTCATGTACGTAAAATCGTGTAATACTTGCCCTTTTGTGTCTGTCCTCCTTCACTTAAAATCTTTTTTTCAGAGTTTACCCATGTGGCCTTTATCAGTGTGTCACTCCCTTTTGCAGTTGAGTAATAGCCCATTGATGGAAGGACCACATATTTATCCTTTCATTCATAGAGGGACACTTGGGTTGTTTCCATTTTTGGCAAACATTCATGTCATAGTTGAACACCTGCTTTTGGTCTTTTGAGGCATATGTTTAAGAATAAAATTGCTGGCTCATAAAGTAACTGTTTAATCTGTCCTTGCGTTCTGTGGCTGCCTTTGCTAACAAATACCTAACTCTAGTGTCTGGAGCCAACTGCCAGGAGATGTTCTGGCTGTGCTAAGGGATGGTTTGGGGAAACATGTATAGGCTATCATATCCATATTGACTTAAATCCAGCATTTGCTATGATCCACATCACTGGGGAGCATGATTCTATTCTGTTTACTGTCTTCCTCCAGGTGCTTGGATGAGGCTGAAAAGGCACTAGGACCTTCCATGCCTCAGATTCCTGAGTGTCCAATTTGTGGCAAGCCGTTTGTCACCGCTAAGAGCCGAATCAACCACTTGAAGCAATGTGCAGCAAGGATGGGAGTGGGGCCCCAGCTCCTACTGCAGGCTGTGCGGACGCAGACAGCTTCTGCTGAGGCGAACAGCAGCCCCCTGGCACCCAGGTGAGGTAAAAAAAAAGAAGAAAATTCAGCAAAAAAACAGTGTTTGTACTCAATTTGACTTTTTTACAAAGCTTTCTGTAGGGTTGGAACACACTAGAACCATTTTGGATTCCGTAAGTGATAGATACATTTGAAGTGAAATCAGGCACAGACTAGAAGGGATTCAGGAGGGCACAGATTTTATATGCACACAGGGGCATCAGTGAAGAGAATCTGATTGGTTTCCTTGAGGTCCTTCTTAAGATGTTTCCAGTCTGCGATCCTGCAGTGACTGCTCTACAGTCTAAAGATTTGGTATTCACTTTACCTTTTCTGTGTCTTGGTTGGTCATCATGGCTTTAGTCTTAGTGTAGTTCAGTTTTTATATTGTTAATGTCAGATTAGTCAGCAGAATTCAAAAGAATTGATGAAACAGAACCACTGGTGTTCCTCTGCTAAAATTTTTCCTGAATTAGTACTTCATGTTAAAATAGTAAGTTCCTCTGATAGCTGGGAAACAAGTCCTTGGCATACAGAGCGCAGACACACAAATAGCAGAGGGTCAGCTCTGCTCATACTGCCCCTGCCACTGAGGACAACCAAATTAATGTCAACTTCAAGCAGACCAAAGTCAGCATAGGCTTCTGACTTCTCTTGTTTGGGGATTTCTTCAGTTGGCAAAAGCAAAGGGAAGGTGGCCAAGGTTGGTAGCTGTTTTTCCTGGCCACTGCCTTGCCCACAGGCTGTGGACAGCAGGGCTGGACCAGATCTGAGATTTCATAAGGCAGAGGGGATTTTCTCTCTCTTTTCTTTTTTTCTTTTTTGTGGTACTGGGGATTGAGCCAGGGCCTTTGCCCTGACGTGTATCCCCAGATCTTTGTTCTTTTTTTTTTTGAGACAGTTTTACTTGTAATAGGGTGTGGCCCTGAACTCTTTATGTAGCTCAGGCTGGCTTCAAACCTGTGGTGATCCTCCTCCTGCTGCAGCCTCCTAAGGGCTGGATGACTGATGTGCACCACCACACCAAGCTCAGAGGGGATTCTTTTAGCTAGTAAGCCTGTCTGTATTTAGCACATCCACATTAGTGTCCTAGGACAGAAAGTCTAAGGCCTTAGACAGTATCTAAGCCTTTGCGTTTCTCTCAGACCAAATATATCTGCTTTTAAAATATTTCCAAGTATTGAAACTAGATGTATGTGAAACCTTTTAGAAGGCTGATCAAATAGGAAGCTATGGGAACTGGCCCTCCTTAAGGGAACTTTGAACCTCTCCTCTGCTAAGGTCAGGCCCGTGGTGTATGGATCTTTGGAGTGGCTAGAATTCCCTGGCCCAAGTACATATGCCACTCTGCCCACCACTGCCTGTTCATTCATGGTTTCCCTGGCTCCCGGCCCTGCCTGCAGCCCAGAGAAGCAGCCCCAACCTCACTGAAGTCATACGGACATCTGCCCAGCTTCTGGGAGCTCCTTTCTCTCTTGGTAGCTGTGGTTATTATACAGGTACCTGGGAAGCTACAGCTGAGTTAGGGCTTGCTTAAGTCTTCTAAGACAACATCTGAAAATCCCCTGCCATTGCTGCCCGTGGAGGAGAGTATTAGCTTTTCCAGAAGCCAGAGGCATGATGAAGGCTGCAGGGAGGCTGGGTGCTATTCCCAGAGTTGCCGAGTGCCTTATCCTCCTACTTCCCAGCCAGTGAGGTTCAGACAGGCAGTGGGGCTTCTGTCCAGCCCAAGACCCCTTGTGCTAATCTCCCAAAGACAGAGGTGCTGTCTCCCCTGAGAGAGCTGACTATTGGAGGCTGAAGCTGGGAAGTTCTTGTATAAGGCCTTAGGCAGAGATGCTGCCCTGGGGTCTCTACAGTATATGGTCAGTGTGACCAGGACCACATCAGGGGCATCAGAAGTTTTAATGGACAGAACTTGGTGGGGATCCATGGAGCGCAACGCAGAGCCATTGAATGTTGATTCACCATAAGGTTCATTTACACCTAGGTGGCAGTATGTTTGACAGCTCTGTCTACTAAGAACTTAACTGCAGTGTCACAAAAATGGCCCAGACATTTTCCTGGTTAGAACTTCTGATTATTTTGGCTTGGATTGAACGAGAGCTCACAAAGAGACAGCACAAGGAGAGCTAAAGCAGCGCTGGCCCTGTACAGGGAGCACACTGCCCTTTCTGGTCATCCCACATAAGCAGACAGGTCCAGTCTGGGAAGAGGCCTCTCTGACCTTTCTCTGTGGCTGCCTTTTAGCTTTAGTAACCTTGTTGGAGGGTGGAAACGAAAAGGAGCCACAAACAAGAAGGAGCCACAAAAGAGGCGGAAGGTTGATAAACCTGAGGTACCATCTGAGGACCTTCTGGTGGCCATGGCTCTGTCCCGATCTGAAGTGGAGCAAGGTCCACCTGCACTTACACTCAGACTGGAAAGTGCTTTTTCTGAGCGGACGAGGCCTGGAGCAGGTAAGTGTGGCTGGGAGCAGAGGCCCTGGGGAGAGCTTGCTGCTCTGCTGCCATTTGAGAGGTGACCAGCAACAGCTTCAAATGAGTGGACAGATCCACTACGGATGGCCCTTCTGTTTATCTCTAGAGAAGAAAAGTCGCAAGAGGAAACCTCTGACCTCCCCACCACCGTTATTAGTCCAGGACTCTAACACCACAGGTAGACAGATAGAAGATCGAGTGGCCCAGCTCCTTTTGGAAGAAGTGGAACTGTGCAGCACACCACCACTTCCTGCCAGCAGAATTCTCAGGGAAAAGCTGGAAGAAGCAGGTTGGCATCTACAGCTGCCTGAAGGAAAGGAGAATTTCCTATGGGAGGGCAGTGCACTGACTGGAGCCTGGGCTATGGAGTCTTTCTACACAGCAGGCCTGGTACCTCCCATTGTGCCCCAGCAGCCCACCAAGGTGAGCCTTGCCTCTCCTGGCACACTTTGGGCAGGCTTTGGGAGAGGTGGGAAGTTTTGGAAATGCAGCCATTGATTGCATAGTTGGGGAACTAGAAGTCTAATAAGTAGATGGGGAGAAAACCGAAGAGGTCTTGCCAGTAGCTTATTTCTCTTTATAGCAACCAATTGGCAGTCTTGATAGCCACGTGTGGTTCTTGTAGTCCCGGCACTTGGGAGGCTGAGGCAGGAAGATCACTGTGAGTTTGAGGGCAGCCCAAGCTACATAATGAGTTCAAGGCTAGTCTGAACTACATAGTGAACCCTGTCTCGTAAAACAAGCAAACAGAAATGGCATTTGTGATAAGAGTTCCCAAAGTTCATTGTTTTCTTGGAGTTTCTTTAAAATTCAGAGTCCATGCTGGGCATGATGGCACACACCTGTAAGGATTGCAAGTTCAAGCCTGGACTGGGCAGCTTAGCAAGACCCTGTCCCAAAATTGGAAATAAGATAAAATAAAATAAAATAAAATAAGTAAAATAAAGTGCATACTCCTGGTCTCTCTTCCAAGATACTTGTATAATCTGTGTGAGATAGGGCCCAAGAACCTACATTCTATGTGTGTGCTCCGAACAGTCCAGCTATAGATGATCCTGAGTCAGTCTTTAACCTGAATGTGACCATTTGGATGACAGTAGAAGGGTGGCCGTTCTGACTCTGATGGACCTTTGTAGACTGGGATGCCACAGGATGGCCTGGCAGAAACCTTTTGATTCAGTGATGGGGAGAGCTTCCCAGACTTGCTCCACACTAACACTGGGGACAACTCTTGTCCTATGCTCTGTTTTGTTTAGCAGTGGATCGATCTCATGACCTCATTCTTACCAGGCAAGCACTTGAGCCACTGAGCTAAATCCCCAGCCCACTCTGGTTTTAAGTCTAGCCATGTGTGTGTGGTGGCTGCTATAGTGTATATATCAATGGCACTGACCATACGTCACTTTGGCTTTCATTCTCCTTGCAGGGTCTCACACAGGAACCCAAGCTAACACAAAGTCCACCTGCCCTCCAAAGCAGCTCCCATGTAGCCTGCAACTCCAGAGACCCATCCCTGTCTGCCAGCCAGAGAGAGCAGCAGGCCCTCCAGGACCTTGTGGACTTGGCAGAGGAAGGGCTGAATGCCAGCCCGTGGCCTTGCAGTGGGAGCCTGGCCAACTCTGGAGGGGCTGCAGGTGAGATACAGGGTGGGTTGTTTGGGCCAGCCACCCCATCCGAAGTGGGGACAGACTGTGCGGGGAACTTAGACCTGACGCTGAGGCACGGCTCGGTCCTGTGGGAGAATGCAAACTCTGGGTGCTTTCATTTTTCTCTGGGATAACTTTGTCTCTCTTATTGTCCTTTCACCTCCCTTTAGAGGAAGATTGTAAAAACATCTTATAAATGAAGGTGTCCTGAGGTGCCACTGAGTCTAGCTCCGCCCACTGGCAGTTGGTGTTGCTGGGAGGTGTTACTTTTTTAATGTGAAAATCTTTCTCTCAGGGTTGGATTTGGTATCCAGTGGCCTTTCTCTGACTGGTTTTGCCCTGCCACCTAAGGAGAAGTCCCTCGAGAGGGATGCCCACACTTTGGTAAGGACAGAGATTTTGGCACCAATAGCTGAGCTATGGCATTGGCTGCTCCTATTTAGTCCTCTAGTCTCTGCTTCCGTGATGATCAGTGTACCTGGACAGCCCTTGAGTGGAGCCTGCTGAGCACCCACTAGGCCTCCTGTCATCTCTCTAGGGGCACTGCTGCAAAGGCTTCTGTTGCTTCTGTCTGAGGACACTGTGAATTACCCCCAGCAACCTACCCCAGCATCCACTTTGCCTCAGAGTCCCAGGAAAACACTGGTTCTTTGTGCACCACCTCTTCTAGGCATCTGTTCTACCAGTGTCTTCATGGTCTGCTTTACACATGAGGAGCTGACCATGCCTCTTTTGTACAGGGTCCTGGGCTAGGCTGTAATTAACCATCCAGAGACCCTGTGTTGGTGAGAACAGCATTAGAAGTCAGGCTTTCCTTAAAGACCAGAATCAGCCCAGTACCTCACACTACCTACTAGGCTGGGATCATTACAATGCATAGTCGGGGAGTGGCTGGTCCCAGGACAGCTGGACTCAAGGCTTTGGTCCAGGAATCTACATTGTGGGTATAACCCAAGCACACCCATTTGCTAATCTTTCCTACATGAGATCAACTGTACATGTGTAATAGAGACCCAGAGAAAGAAGGTCATTGGGCACCTTAAGATAACTCTGAGGTGGAAAGGAGGTGGGGTCCTGGCTCTTAGCTTACCCTAGCAGCTCTCGGTTGGGGACCTCTCAACCTGGTTAAGAGAAGCAGCACTGAAGGGATTGACTCTGTTCCTGTCCTGTCGTGCAGCTCTCCCTCAGGTTGTTGGCTGCTGATTTTGGTGCCATGGTCAATAACCCACACCTGAGTGATGTTCAGTTCCAGACAGACAGCGGGGAAGTGGTTTATGCCCACAAGTTTGTGCTTTATGCCCGATGTCCACTTCTCATTCAGTATGTGAGTATGCAGCATGCCCTCCTCCTTTCCTCCTTCCCTTCCTTCCTTCTTTCCTTCTGGCCTTCTCCGTCTCGCCTACCCTTACCCCAGAATGAGGTTCCCTTAGTGCCAGCATCGTTCTGCTTCTGCAGAGGAAAGAGAGATGTGGCATAGTCTCAAGGCTGGAAATGTCAGTTTTGGTTCCATTGTATGCACTCCCCTCCATGAATCATTATAAAGGGTCTCTGTCACTGTCTCAAGGCTGATTTGCATGCTCAGTGTGCCAGAAAGTTCTGGAGTCTGTCCAGGGAAACTAACCAGTTCTCTAAAATCCTAATATCTACCCCTAAAATGATTTGGAAAACAAGAAAGTGCTGTGACTGAACCTGCAAAATTCTGGCCATGAAAATGCACAGTAGTGGCCTATGCCTTTCTGGAGCATGGAACCCTAAGGCTGGAGATTCCTAGATATCCCAAACGGTCCGTTTGCTGCTGTTGGTCAGTAAGCCAACTTTTACATTTTGTTTCATCTAGGTAAATAATGAAGGCTTCTCTGCCATAGAAGATGGGGATGAGATTCAGCGTGTGCTGCTAAGCAGTGTGAGCACTGAGGCTACCTGTGTGTTCCTGCGCTATCTCTACACAGCGGACACTTATCTGCCATCCCACCTGGTGGCTGACCTGAGCACCTTGGCCCGCAGGTTGGGATTGTTCTTCCCATGGACTCCCCAGTTTGTAAGAGTTTGGGGAGGGTTGTGCTGTAGTAAAGTCAGGACTGATGCCAGCAAGACCTTTTATTCCATTTAGTCCTATTTATACGTTTAGTCCCAAGTCCATGATCAGTGGCACCCCACTCCAAGGCTTTGTAGCCACAAGCAATCAGAGTGGATACCTGCCAGGCTAGACATTTTCAGGGTGGAAAAAGATACCTCCAGGCATGGGATGAGGGTGGCCCATGTCTTCAAATCTTATACTAAGTTTTTTGATGGTCCCCATGAGAGTAGAAGAGTAGCAGCTAGGCATCCTCCACCATGACCTGGTTCTTGGGGCTCTGGAGGAAGCCTTGTTCCTCCCAGACTGCATCAGTCCTCAGGTCCCTTGGGAAGGAATGTCTTAGCCCCAGGGGTTTGAAGTGTGCTAATTGGGTTGCAGAGCCAATAAGTCAGTGGCCAGCTGGCTTCCCATTGAGCTGGTCTGTTGTGGTTTGTCTCAGGCATGAAGGCCTCCTGGAGCAGCATGAACTGCCTGATTTTTCAGCCCCCCCATTCCCAATCTCATGATCTCAAACTCAGTCTGATGTACCTCTGCATTTGCAGTAGCAAAATTAAAGCCTCTTGGGTTTCTAGAGCTAGCGCTGGGCTGGTTTCTAGGCAGGTGTGTGGGCTCCATCCTAGGAGAATGGGCAAAGCCACAGTGAGTTGCGCTGTTGCTCTTCCTCGCAAGACTGCCCTGGCTACCCACCTGGCTGCCCACAGCCACCTCCATGCAGAATGGCAATGACTCACAGTGTTCTGTTGCAGGTTTGGTGTTAGTGACCTTGTTCACCTGTGTGAACAAGTACCTGCTGTGATGGACGTGGAAGACGAATGGCAAGAGGAGAAAAAAGATGAAAACTGTGAAAGCAGAGCAGAAAATTTCCAAGAACTCTTGAGGTCAATGTGGACAGATGAGGAGGAGGAAGCAGAGACTTTGTTGAAATCTGAAGAAGACAGAGAAAAAGTGAATGAAGCAGACATGGAGGAAATTTACGAATTTGCAGCCACTCAGCGAAAGCTGCTGCAGTGGAAAAGAGCACCAGATACAGACGAGGAACCTGACCAACCAGGAGAGGACAGTCCAGTTGCTGGATCTCCCCTGGAAAATATCCTAGGAAGCAAAGAGTTGGAAAAGGGAGAGTTTTTGGAGCCAAGAAAATATAAGTCCCCAGTCAACAATGAAAATGTAGGGCGCTCCCTCCTGTTACCTGCAGGTGGATGCTCAGACAGGGCAGCAGATGCAGAGACCCACCAGCAGACAGCATCAAAGGAGGCACCCAGCTCCAGCTCCTGTAGCCTTCCTGGGGTCAGCGAGGGTGAGAGACAAAGCTTCCTTGTGCACTCATTTGAGGTCCCTGCTTATGAACAGGTCTTTTCATCACCTCAAGCAGAATTCTCTGAAGTACCCCAGATAACATGTGACCACCAGGAACAAGGTGACATTGTCAGGAAGAAAGAGGTAGAAATGCCCTGCGTCTCCACTCCACAGCCACAGCAGTGCTATCGCCCATCACAGCTTCCTGGTGTCAGGAGTCCCAACCAGTCACAGCGTTACCTTCATCACACAAGTGATTCATCTCCATCCACACCCCGGTCACATAATGGTATTTCCATAGTGTCTTCCCCTAGCTCACCATCTCCAGCTGTACCAGCAAAGCAGGACAGTGGCATTCTCACAGTACATAAGGAGCCAGGCCACTGGAAAGGCCCAGAGTGTCATTCCATATTGGGACACAAAAATAAGGGTGTCCTGATTTCCCCAGAAAAGTCTCTATCCATTGACCTGACACAGTCAGTTCCTGACCCCTTAAGTATCACATCCCAGGATCCTCCCTCCCACATGAGCAGAGAGAATGAGATCATTCTTTTACTGGATTCAGATGAAGAAGTGGAGCTAGAACAGACCAAAACAAAGTTGGTTTCTGATGGTCCCTCAGAAGAAAGGAATATTCTAGAAGTCAGCTATAAGTCCTCTGAGCTGTTTTCAGTTATTGATGTTGATGCAGATCAAGAGCATTCTCAGAGCCCTCCGAGGGGAGAAGCAGAACTGAAGCTCAAGAGTGGGGAGGGACAATTGGAGAATCAAGGTACTGCGGGCAGGACAAGGACCTCCTGGTTGATCTCTGACCGTGAGAGGCTTGATGAGGACAGTACCACAGATGCCTCCTGGCTAGTACCTGCCACCCCAGTGGAAAGCAGGAGCCGTGACTGCTTGTCACAGACCCAGGTCACAAGCCTTGGGATTAGGCCTTCAGATAAAATGGTGCAGCCCTCATGCAGAACCACTCCAGGAAACAGCCCAGTGTCAGAGGCCACACAAAAGTTCTCAGTCATCACATCCCTGCTGTCACCTACATTACCAGGAACTTCTGGCAGTGGAAGGCGGGTCCGCAGGCGCCTTTCCTGTTCCCAGTCCAAGCACCACAAGCTCTCTTCCCCAAGGGCCTCATGTCCCATGGCAGGAGGCCTCCCTGATTTCACTGGGTCCGTCCAGAAACTCTTACCAAATCAGGCAGCAGTGAGTGAAGTGGTAGAAGTTGGGGACAGTGAAGATGAGCAGGAGGTAGCTTCTCATCAGGTAAACAGAAGCCCCCTGCTGGACAGTCACCTCCCAATCCCTGTGGATGACTGTTGGAACATTGAGCCTCTTTCACCAATTCCAATTGACCACCTGAACCTTGAGCGCACTGGTCCCCTGAGTACCAGCAGTCCCAATAAGCAGGCCCAGGAGCCTCTGGACAGTAGTGACTGCCACTCCCCAGGACTCCTGGGCAGTACCCCTATCCGGGCAAATGGCAAGGCACGAAGAGCATCTCCAGAGCAGTCCTCAGGAGCTGGCTCCCCGAGGAGCAGCAGGCTGAGCTTTCTGAATCCGGCCCTCTGGGACGACTGGGACGAGGAAGGGCAGAAGTCTCCAGAGACTCCTCCTGCACACCAGACACCATGTGCCCTCCGAGCCCAGAAATCAGAAGGGCCAGAGAGACCGAGTGAGTGGCAGTAGGGTCAGAAGGAGTCTTGTCTGTCCTAATGGGGCATGGACTTGGGTGATGTGAAGCGCTGGCTCTCCTGCCAGACCCTGCCATTGCCTTGCAGCCCCTTCACATGGAGGGAGACCTGCTGGCATCAGGCATGTGCCAGTCAATCAGTGCTTCTCGCACTGACCTGCATCCTAACCAGTATTCCCCTGGGTGCTTGGTAAAAGTACATGTTGGTGGACCCCCTACAAGACTCAGCTAGCACCCCCAGAGGTGATAAGTCTAAGCAGTAAGTCCCATTTGTACCTCAGAATGGGGCAAGTGTGGTTCCTCAGGGAGCTGGCTGAGTTGCCTAGTGCACTTGAGCTCCGAGTTCCATCCCCAAAACAAAAAAATTTGAACATAGAATTACTATAGGGCCCAGCAATTCCATGCTCACCTATCCAAAAGAATTGAAAATTGAGCGAATGCACCTTAGCGGTGCATGTGTAGAGCAGCACAGGTTATAATAGTGGGAAAGTGGAAGCAGCCCAGGTTTCAGCAGATGTGGTCCAGCCATGTGGGGAATGGTATTTGGCCGTGGAAGTAATGAAATACTGACACTGCCACATCTATGACTCTTGAAAACACTGTGCTGGATAACAGAAGCCAGACCTTAAAGGTCACCTGTGAAATGATTTCGTTTCTATGAAATACCTACTCCAGAGTGATGAAACAGGCTAGGGATTGCCTGGGGATGAGGGGAGGGGAATGAGAGTGATCACTCACTGAGTATAATCTCTTTTAGGGTGGTACATCATTCTGGAATGATAGTGTCGCACACTTGTGATCCTAGCACTTGGGAGGCTGAGGCAGGAGTGAGTTTAAGACCAACCTGGACTACATAGTGAATTCAGGTCAGCCTGAACTGCATAGCAAAACACAGTGTAAAAAACAACAACAACAACAAACCAAACCAGGTGTGGTGACACAGGCCTGTAATCCCACCACCAGGGAGAGGCTGAGGTTGGAAGACTCTGAAAGTTCTAGGCCAGCCTGGGCTATCCAATGAATTCAAGGCCAGTTGGGACTGGTGAGACCTTGTCTCAAAAACAATTTTTTTAAAAAATATTCTGGAACACGATGGAAATGATGATTGACCAATATTGTAAATGTCCTAAATGACACATTTTCTATGAATCTCACCTTACAAAAAGGAAAACAGACTGGGGTGTAGCTCAGTGGTGGAGTATGTGCTTCCCATGCCCAGAGTTTGACTCTTAGCTCTAGAACAAAACCTTCACAAATGGAGAAAGTTTGAGAATCCATGGGCCTTGCGCTTCCCCATCCCTTGGGGGAGAAGAATGCTTCTTCCAGTGTATTTAGGGCACTCTGGCTTACTCAAAACCACTTGTGGGCCAGGCACCCTCTACAGTGGGGACAGAAAGCAACACTGAGGGAAAATGACTGCAGCCTGGTGCTTCCTGCCCTCTTGAAATCTTAGATGAGCTTCTCAGCCTTTAAGGGCTTCAGAGTCAACCAGAAAGAATTTCTTAAAACAGGTGGCCTTCCCCACCCTGTCCCACACCAGAGCTTCTTCAGCCCCTCCCCCCCGCCACCCAGAATTTGCATTTTTTCACCAGTTCCCATGCAGGGCTGTAAAAATGAGCCCCTTGATCTGAATCTCAAGTGGTCTTCAAAATGGACAGTGAAATATAAATAGTGATAATATTTATCATACAGAATTTGTACCTGTACATATATTGTGTTTCATTTTTCATTTTTCTTGTATGTAAACTTAGAAGTAGAATTGCAGGTGAAATGAACTTGTTTAGCATTTGGAGGAACTCCCAGCCTGTTTTCCAGAGTTGTTGCTTCATTTCCTCTCCCACCAGCAGAGTGAGGGTTCCAGTTTCCCTGCATCCTCGCCAACACTGCCTGTTGCCTGCCTTTCATTCTAACCAGCCTAGTGAAGGTGAAGCGGCTGAGATTTTTTATTTGTGTATCTTTAGTGACTCATAATGCTAAGTGTCTTTTCATGTGCTCATCAGCCATCTGAATGTCTTTGAAGACAGCTGTAGAGCCTCCTTGATAGGGATCAGTGTTGCCCATTGTTTGAAGCTGTCATTGTACATGAAGACATTTTTAAGTGTATTTATGTTTAGGCCTGTGCTGGGCAGTTGGGTTGAACAGCCCTAGGAGCCATTCACCCAGCATTAGTGGTGCTCACAGCACAGATGTTGGTGTATGCTCTGTGTGTTTACCAACAAGACACGACTCCCAACTGGGAAGGGGACATCACTGCTTTCATTGGGCAGAGCTTTTTTCTAGACACTTCCAGGACCACAAGTGGTTGCAAATCAACCTCTCCCATGTTTTCTCTGTTTTACCCAGAAGGTGCTAATCGGAAGAAAAACTTGCCCCCGAAAGTGCCCATAACTCCAATACCAAGGTATTCCATCATGGAGACCCCCGTGCTAAAGAAAGAACTGGACAGGTAGGTGCTTCTCTTCCAGGCTTGCTCGTAAGTAATCTTTTCCTTCCTTTGCACAACCAGGCTCAGCAAGTCTGGGCACAAAAGGATCTAGCATATGGTTCTGCAAATCTGGTGGCTGCAGGAAAGTTCTGCAGTCTGCTCCACAGGGTGTGTGTGGCCACTGGGCGGTGAGGTGAACTGCTTGCTTCTCTGAGTATTGTTCCCACATCCCTCGGGCTCCTTAGAAGTCAACACATGAGCCTTCTTTCAGTTATGCCCTGGATGACAGGTTTCCATGCCCAGTGTTGATGGGGATAGGACCCCGTCCGGTCTGAGTAAAGAGCCCTCATTTTTAAAATAATTTTTTGCTTGCTTGTTTGTTTTGTTTGAGACAGTTTTACTTTGCAGTTCAAGCTGGCCTTGAACTCACTTTGTAGCCCAGGCTGGCCTTAAACTCTCAGCAGTCCTCTTGCTTCAGTGTTCAGAGTGCTGGGATTACAGGTGTGTGCCACCATGCCTGGCTTCTTTTTTAAAAGAATATAAGAGCTATCACATTCTAATGAATACTGCTGTTCAGCTTAGGCACCTAGGGAAGTCACTGCCCCCACCAGCATGGAGAGCACTGTGGGAGGAACCCTTTGGGAACATTCTTTTGTGGCACATAGGATAGATGCTAACCTCTGAATGCTCATAAAAGTTGGAACATCTATGGTTTGGATCCTACAGAGCCATTCCTTATATCCCTTAGTCCTTGCTAATGTGAAAATAGTATGGAATATATAGATGGGCCACACTGGTGGGCCTGCATTTCATCTGTGTCTCTGGCAGGTTTGGAGTTCGACCTTTGCCCAAACGCCAGATGGTTCTGAAACTAAAGGAAATTTTCCAGTATACTCACCAGACCCTGGAGTCAGACTCAGAGGATGAGATCCAGTCCTCACCAGGATGCCGGGAGATACCTTGCAGCCAGACGCTCCCCACTGAGACTGACAAGCCTTTCAGGGTGGGAGGCTGCACCCCATTTAAGGTCACTGAGGGTCCGAGCACCCAACAGTGTAAGAGACCTCAACATCAAAAGAAGCAGCCCAGCATCCTACACCAGAGGCCACCAACCAAGAAACCACCTCTGGGCCCTGATGTTGACACCCAGCTCCCAGCCTCTCAGGAATCTGTGGCCACCTCTGTGGACAGCAGTGACAGCTCCTTTAGCTCACAAAGGTAACCAGATGGAAGCAGTAGGGTCAGTGGCATCATGTGACCTCTAACCAGCGGGTTTGAGAATGGGTATCAGGATGGCTTAATGTGCAGTGTTGAAAAGCCCGCTCCTGGGCTCAAGCTGCAGGAAGCCCAGGTGGTTTAAAGGGCCATTCCCTGAGCCCCCTGCAGGCCTTCAGGATCTGTCTTCCTTGCCCCTGGCCCTGGATTTCTGGCTAAGAGGGACCCCATGCAGGCTGCCTTAGCTAGAGCGCCCCAGAGCCACAGTACCCTATGGGGCACTGTCAGTTGCATCCTGCCCCCCTGGGTGGTTGTCCCTGGCACATGCCAGGCTTTGCAGTGCCACAGAAACACTCCTTCCCTCCAAGGGGCTTCAGGTCATAGACTGGAGAGAAAAGGAGTCACAAATGTCTGTTTTTTTTCAGTTCGTCCTGTGAGTTCGGAGCAGCCTTTGAGTCTGCAGGTGACAATGAGGAGGACGAAAGTGCAGGGGTCGGTGCATCCCAGGCAGCCAGCCAGGTGCCAGACACAGAGGAAGCTGTGAGATGTTATATCCGCTCCAAGCCGGCACTGTACCGCAAGGTGCTCATGTACCAGCCGCTTGAGTTGGCAGAGCTGCAGGCTGAGCTGAAGCAAGATGGCATTCGCGTGCCCATGGGCAAGCTCCTGGACATCCTGGATGCCCTCTGTATTACCTTCACCACTGCTGCAGCCCGAAAGGAGAAGCTCAAGCAGAAGGGGCAGCAGCAGAGGGGCAGGAAGAAAGGGGCACGGGATTGACAACCCTGCTCTTCTAACAGCTTGTGGGTGTCTATGCCCAGCACCCCTCACCTCTTGAGCATCTGACGGGAGGACTGGAGCCCAGCATGAGACAGACTTCCACAGGCATTTTGGAGCCTCAGGACAATGATTGCCCTGACCCCTGCTTCTCCTCTGGCTTCTACCTTCTGGTGTGGCAGCTGGAGCACATGGACAGCCTTTCTTTTCCCCTGTCAGTGCCAATCTGTCTCTTTAGTCCCAGCAGGGCCCTAGCCATGAGTTCTTGAGGGACAAGAAATCATACCAGCTGGCCAGCCCAAGGCTAGATTCTGCCCCATCTGCCACTGTGTGTCTACTAGGCCCAGGTACAACTATCCAGTGTGTTCTGAGTTGAATATTAGATCCAGCTTACCCCCAAGCTAACTGGTCTGCCCTTCCAGCACATAGAGCAGTCTCAGCCACTGCAGCAGACCAGCCAACCACAGTCTTCCTGTACTATCGTGCTGCAAGTGCAGCTACTGGACCAGTCATTCTGCCTAGACATTTGTCATCGTCACCAGCAACCTCTAAAGAGGACCGTGCAGATAGGCCCAGCACAACTCTGCAGCCCAGAACAAGCATGTACTTCATTGGTGGGTTCCATCCTGCATGGAAGGCTCTGGCAGTGCGGTGCTCACAGTGGGCCTCTATATCCTGTGATTGTCCTTGTCTGTTTTAAATACAGCACAGCTGTTTTTATATGATGTGCAATAAAAACAAAAAGCTTTATAAAAGCTTCGATGCTACACTTCCGGCAAGCCACAAGGATAGGCTTGCCCATTCTTCACAGCCTTCTCCTGTCTTTTATCTTGGGGGTGCCAGGCTTGCTAGCTCCTTACTTCCTTTGGTTCCTAGATAACAGAGGGTCTCAGCATAGCTCCAGCACCCACTGCTCACAGTGAGGGTGGGCCCATAGCACCCACTTTGCTGAGGGGTGTTATAGGTGCATGGTGGGCCCCAGTTGGGCCTACTGGTCAACCTGCTTGTTCACAGGATGAGGGCAAAGTGCTACCCTTGCCACGAGCAGGGTGTAGATTGGACTGTCCATCTAGCAGAGCAGACAGATATACTGGCCTGTCTGCTGCCTAGCCTAGAAGTTGGGGCTCAGTGGCCTGAAGGGTGAGCAGTATTACTGGAAGAAAAGTGAGGCTTCTTGAATTTGTATTGTTTGTGTTGAGCCTGGCTCATGTTGCCTAGAGAAGCAGATTAGACAGAAGCCAAGGATTTTCAGTCAGCTTTGACAGAGTTGAAGATGGATTTAGGCTTGTTTTGAGCCAGAGATTTAGCTTAGCAGCACAAGCGCCTGCGTGGCAAGCATGAGGTCGGGAGTTTGATCCATGGTACAAAAAAAAAAAAAAAGGTAAAGCCAGGCCTTGTGGTGCATATCTGTAATCCCAACATTCTGGGACACTAAGACAGAGGGACTGCTAGTTTGAACCCAGTCTGGGCAATTTAGTGAGACTCTGCCTCAAAATAACAAAAAAACTGGAGCTGTATCATTCAGGAAGTAAGAAGTTTAACACCAAGTACTGAAAAAAAATTTTTTTTTAATCTAAGAAGAGGTTGATCATACTCCCTAGAGTGACTGCCGAGGGACATGAGATGAAGTTATCAAGACCAGAGACTTGGGACTTCGGATCAGCTTTGCAGGATGTGTGGTCCAGATGTGTCTGTTACATGCCCTGGGCTGGGGTGGTGGGGTCACCATTCTTGGAAAGGGCCCATGACCCAGAAGAAGATAGGAACCTCCAAGGTCCATGCTGTCCATGTCAGGAGAAAGGGTTAGAACAGTTGACCTTTTTGAGTGCCCAAAGCAGGGGACAATGGCCTAGTGACTAAGTCTGAGCCTCATCCTTGCAGAACTGGGTCTGCTCAGCTTCCTGGGGCCAAGGGGGATGAGGATGTGCTGTGCCCAGCAAGAGAGCTGTGGACCCAGAACCTGTGTGTGAAGCAACATTTCATTGTCCTCAATGAGCAAAGCAGCCACTGCTTCCAGAGAAGAAAGAGGGCTAAATGAGCCACTGCTGTAAAGGAACATCCATTATCAGATGTAGCCCTGCCCAGAGCAAAAGCTCTACCCCTTCCACAAAAACTAGACGGAGCTCAGGGATGCAGCTTAGATTCAGCTACTTGCTTGAAAAGGAAAACAGTGCAGAGATGCAGTGAAGTTGGAGAAGCAGGGTGGGCAAGAGGGGCTACCTCCTGGGCAAGGAGAGGGGTGCCCTTTTTCAAAAGCTTCCTGCCTGCAAGGAGGAATCGTAAGAAAGCCCTTGAGCCTGCAGCACAACACTTGCCAGGCACAGTCAGGTCACTTGTGCTTTGTTGTATGACCAGACTTCCAGGCCTCCCCATTTCCTGTGCCTGCAGCTTCAGCCATAGCCCAGGCTTATCTGAGGAGACCATTGGCCCACCCCCTGGGGCAAGGAGCCGCTGGCCTGGGCAAGGGCTTACTGAGAAGGAAGGCTCAACACTGCAGGGAGAAGCCTTATGCTGCTGCTGAGTCAGGAGGGGCTGAGGTCACTACCTGGCCTTCTGAGCCCGCTCCGGAAGGACAGGAGTCCACAGCAAAAACAGCTCTAGAGCTGCCTCCTCACCCACACGACCAACCTTCCAGGAAAGCGGCTCAGCCATTCAACCCTGTGTAGTCTGGCAGATGTTCCCAGGTGGATGGGAGGGTATGCCGGAATGGTCCCCAAGATTCCTGCAGAGGAGGCTCTTCAGTCTGCTCAGCATCCGTCCACAGCGAGGTAGAGTCTCTGTCTCTTTGCATTTGACAGACTCACCAGGCCCTTGTGGTTTCCAATATCCTGTCAGTGGCCTGGTTTCAGACGCCTGCACTGTACCCTATGACTGAGTTGCAGCCATGGGTCTGCATTCTGCCTGCCTGGAGACTCATCAGGGTCCTCAGAGGGCCCCTGTGGTGTCTGAGTGCTCAGAAAGCATTGCTGGAAGGTGAGGGGAAGGTAGACAAAGGGCGTCACCAGCAGCATTTCCCATCTGCCACCCCGGGTCCCTCCCTCTCATTGTGCTGGAGGAGGGAATGACAGTTGCACAGCCCTCCTGCATTGACCCAAGCTGCAGCGTGCCTCTAAACTCTTTAGTCTCCTGCTCTGCAGCCATTGCTGGCTCCCATTTGGCTGCTGAGAAAAATTCAGACTCCAAAGGTCCTGGCACTTGGCTGCCACCTTGTCACCTACTTCCCTCAGTGGCTCCATATTCAATGGCTTGCTCCTTGTCGCTGAAAGACGTTCGATACATTTCCTTCACTGTCAGTTTTCTCATGTTATTCACTCTGGCCATGTATGTTCCCTCACACACTTTCCTGTTAGTACAGACCATCTGCTGGTCCACCTTCAGGGGCCACATTTGACTTCCTGTCATGAACAGCCACATTCTGCTGCTTCGGATGCAGGAGGCCTGCCCTTGGGGGCCTCTTGACTCACAGGAAGACGTTGTGGGGTGCCGCTGGGCCAGATGGTGCCTGTGAGTGACAGAAAAAGACAGCAAGAGGGTTAGAGAAAGAAGGCGAGGGCCAGAAGGTCAGAGAACCAGGAAGTCGAGGGCAGCCTAGACTTTCTCTATGCCCGTTGGATCCCTGACCATCTATCAATTGATGAATCTGTCTTGCTCTTTGGCGGATAAAGGTGACATGTCTGCAGCTTTGGCACTTTGGTGTCACTTTTTGCTGAACATCAGGCCTTCAAGGATGCCTGGTCTCACAATCAAGAGGCCAGTGTGCCTCACCCCTTTTAGATGTATGGGGTAGTGATGAATGCTGGGCAGCCCCAGCTCACTGATTTGTCATGAGGCTGTTGGCTTTTGAATCAGACAGGAAGGAAGGTTGAGGTACAGCCCAGCACAGGAAGAGGTGAAGACCAGAGCTGCAGTGACAGCTGGTAAACTTCATGAGGACTGCAAGAAAGAGCACACCCATGTCTCTGGCCCTTTGTGGCCAGCATAATAACTTCTATCCCTTCAGGCTGTTTCCTTAGCCCAGGACAGATTCCAGGGTCTCAAGGCTTGGCTGACCAGCTATAGGGTAGGTCACCCTGCTGCTTGTCATCCCTGGGTCAGAGATAAACTTGGAGTATGGAAATGGAGCCACACAACACTCCAGTCTTGGCATCCCTGGAGCAGCCACAAAACACCAGAGGTAAGTAGAGTCCAGGTGCTTCAGTATGGATGGAGGAGGGAGAGGGTATGGCTGGCAGGAAGCACAGAGACTTTAAGGCCTGAGCTGCCCTGTGCAGCAGGGAGACTCCAGGAAGTTATCATTGGGGTGCTGGAGCATGGAGGCCAGACAGGTTTAGTATGAGGCAAACAAGCATGTTCTTAGGATGCCTCAGGGGAATGCCTGCTTCCCAGGTGCCAGTGACAGCTAGCATGGCTGGAATCTGCAGACTCAACACCATTCCTCCTTCCCTGATGTGGGGCTCGGGCAGCAGGCCTCCTCCTCTGCTCCCTGCCATGTACAGGGTAACAACATCTGCTCCAGTGGTCATGAGATTCCAGGTCCAGTCATAGCTCCTGCTCTATAGATGCTAAACGGGGTTGAGGTGCAGCTCCTAGTCCTGTCCTGGCTGCACCCTTAAGTAACATGAGGCTCATCATTCTGAGGGGCAACCACAGATGCCTTCTAGAAATAGGCCTGGCTGGGCTGGGGTGTTAGCTGCAGGGTTCTCGCCACAGCCAGCTCCTGGGCCCCAGGCTCCTCCTACAACCTGGAGGAATTAGCTTCCCTGAGCTGGGGGTCCCCTTGTCTGTCCCAGGCTGCAGGCTGAGCATTAAGCTCCTGTCTGGGGTACAGGTCTGCAGGGTCTGGCTGCTCTTTCCTGGGATTCCTGGGTCAGTGTACTTAGGTGCATCTTAAGAACAAGTGCTGCTTCCTCCTGCCTTCAGGAAGGTTGGCCTTGGTGGGAGACTGATTCCCAGGTCTGGGGAGGGGACCAGGAGTCAGGAAACCTAAGGAGCTACAGCCAGCAACACAGGCAGCCTGGCATTGGGCAACAGCATGGAGGCCACACCCAGGTTCCCAAACCCAGATGGGCAGAGCCAGGGTCAGCCACTCAGGAAGGGGCCCAGTGGTTTCAGATTAGCACTGAGGCTCAGGGAGGGAAGCATAAGAGAATGTGACCTGGAAGCAGAGCCAAAGCACCTGAGCCTTCTAGGAATCAGGTCAAAGCCTAGATCTTGAACCTAGGAACTGAGTCTGAGCCACACCTATACCAGGGAGGTTCTTAGATTCACCCTTCCCCATGGATAGAGTCTGGGGACGTGCTATGGGACACCTGCAAGGCTTCTAAGGAGACAGCAGTGGCCACCACTGGTCCCTCTAGCCCTGACTTGTCCACGATAGCTCAGGGCCTCTGTGGACTGACCTCTGGCCTTCAGATCCCTTAAGACGACCTGAAGCCTGTCTGTTCTGTCTTCCTCTCTGTAGCTGCTCCATTGCAGGCCATGGGCACTGTCATGGACACTGTTCAGGGTGAGCATGACTGTCTCTCACCAGCTCAGAGGTGGCAGCCTGTGGCCACGCAGGGCATCCAGGATGCCATCGCTGTCAGCCTTGAGCTGGCCATGAGGTGGGTAGCAAAGAGAGGGTCTGGTCATCCTGTACCTTTTATACTGTCCTTGTAGGAGAAGGTGTCCCAGTTTGAAGAGGGTGAAGTCTATATCTGAATAGGGTCTGAGAAGAGTACCAGATAAAATATAAGACACCTGGAAAATCAGAATTTCAGATAAATAATAAATTTCATAGTGTATCTCAAATATTTGAAGAGATATATTACTAACATTCTTTGTTATTTATTTGAAATTCATCTTGAATTTGTCTTGTGTTTTAATCTGGTAAATCTGGCAATTTTAGGCCCAAGGGCAGTGGGGCAAGAAGGACATAGGGGTGATCAGGAGGGAACATTGACCTCAACATGAGGAGACTAACTGGGCATATAGGCGGGGTACTGGTGGCGAGCCATCCTTCCCAGGTGCCCCATGCCCACATTCCCCGTCGCTGTCTCTCCCTCTTGTGTTCCTCCCTGCCTCCCTCTGGCCCAGTGGTTATCACTTTCTGGGCTCCTGCAGACCCCCAGGGAGCTTAAACAGAGGCATATATTGTTTTTTTAGTCTGATCTTTATAATCCCATCCCTTGTATGAGCTTTTGGTTTAGCCTGATCTTCTTTTTCTAAAAGTTTGAAGTTCAAAATTAAGTTTATACATGCTTGCTTTGTTTTTCTGATATGGGTATTTACTGCTATAAATTTCCCTCTTAAGACTGCTTTCATTGTATTCCACAGGTTCTGGTGTGTTGTATTGTCATTATTGTTCAACTGTAAAAACTGTCTAATTTCTTTTTTTTTTGTCTTTTTCCTTTTTATCAGTACCGGGGATTGAACTCATGACTGCCTGCTTGCAAGGCAGGCGCTTATGCCGCTGAGCTAAATCCCCAGCCCCCAAAACTGTCTAATTTCTTCAGTTTCATCTGTGACCCAGTGGTTGTTCAGTAAGGTGCTATGAAGTGTTTATGAAGTTCTTGTGGTTTCCACTGGCATGGATTTCCAGTTTCTCTGCACTGCACTGATAGTATGCATGGTATAATTTCATTTCCTTTGCATTTACTTAAGCATGCTCCATGAACCAGTATATGGTCTGTTTTGTGGAATGTCCCATGTGCAGCTGAGAAGAATGTGTATTCTGGTATTGTGGGGTGGAACACTCTATAGACATCTACTAAGTCCATTTTCTCAAAAGTTTGATTTAGCTCTAATATTTCATTATTCATTTTTTTGTCTAGTTGATCTGTCTTTTTGTGACAGTGGGATATTGAGGTCTCCCAATACTATTGTATTAGGGCTCATTTGATTTTTCATGTCTGTTAGTATTTGTTTTATATAATTGGGTGCCCTGATTTTTGTTACACATATATTTATGACTGTTATCTTTTCTTCTTGGATTGTTCCCTTTATAAGGATGTAATGACCTTCTTTATCTCTCTTAATAAATTTTGGTTTGAAATTCATTTTGTCTGCAAATATAATAGCTACCTCTGCTTTTTTTCTGGGTTTCTTTTGCATGTAGTATTGTTTTCCATCCTTTGACTTTCAGTCTATGAATTTTTTTTGAATTAAATGTGTTTCTTGCATTTGGCGTATTGTTGGATCTTGCTTCTTGATCCATTCTGCCAGTCTATTCTTTTGATTGGTGAATTGAGACCATTAACATTGATAGTCATAACTGATATGTATTGACTTAGCCTTGTTATGTTATGTCATGTCATGTTGCTAGCTCCCTCTTCTTTTACCCCCCTCCCTGGTGGAATCTTTCTACTGAGGTTCACTGAGCTGTAGCCCTTATTATCTCTTTCTAGAATGTTCTTCAGAACATTTTAGAGTACTGGTCTTGGTGTCATAAATTTCCTCAGATGTTCTTTGTCATGGAAGAATCTTATTTCTTCATCAATTTTGAAAGATAGTTTTGCCTGGCACATCGATCTGGATTGAAAGTTGTTTTCCTTTAGGACTCGGAGTACTTCACTCCAAGCTCTTCTTGACTTGAGAGTTTGTGGTGATAAGTCACCTGTAATTCTGATAGGCTTTCCTTCATAGGTGATTTATTTCTTTTCTCTAACAACTTTTAGGATTTTATTCTTGTGTTGAATTTCTGGAATCTTGACTATCATATGCCTGGCCATGTATTTTTTAAAATCATGGCTAATTGGAGTTCCATATGCCTCATTTATCTGCGTGTCAAATTCTTTTACTCTACCAGGAAAGTTTTCTGTCTTGATGTCTGTGAACATTTATAAAGTCCTGCATTTTCATTAGCTCTAATCAATCTTAAGTTATTCTTCTTTATTTCACCTAGCAGCTGCTGGATTGATTTCTCATAGTCCTTTGCTATTTTTTTTTCCTTTGCTATTTTTAAGAAATCTTTCTTTTCCTGGTTACTTACTGCAAGCCTGTCTTCAGTATCTGAAATTCTGTCCTCACATTGGCCTAATCCGCTTCAAATATTTTCAGTGGAGTTTTATTCTCCTGGATATCTGCTTGAATCTGCTTTGTGGGATTCCATTTCTTTCCTATGCTGAGATTACATAATTTTCTGAAGCTCATCTATTTTGTCTGTATCTACTCTCATGTCATACACATGGGGTGTATTTTGGTAATCTCTGTAGTTATCTGAGAGGTTATTTCTGATTTCATTTTTTCCAGAGCTTCATTCAATTGCTTTGTTGTTTCCATTTCAGAGAATGATGCTGGGATTACACACATGTGCCATCACACCTGGCTCTTTCCCAATCTTGATACTTTCTGTTATTCTTGTTTAATCTGCTCTATTACACTAGCATACTAATTTTTAAAAATGCCTACCATTCCCTGACATGGTGATACATGTGCAGTTCCAACTACTTGGAAGACTGAAGCTAAAAGACTCCTTGAGCCCAGAAATTTGAGGTCAACCTAAAAAAAACAAAGCTGCGCACGGTCGCACATCACTTGGAGCCCAGCACTCTGGGAGGCTGAAGCAGACAAATTACTAGTTCAAGCCCTTCCTACTAGGTAACTTAGCCACTTCATGAAATCCTGTCACAAAATTTAAAATTTGAAAAGGGATGGGGATGCAGCTTAGTACAAAGGCCCAGGATTCAATCATATCAAATAAATAAATAAGCAAGCACACAGATGAGGTTACCCCTGGAAAAAGGAACTGAAATTTATATATTTTTATATTATTTAACTTTTGGGAGTTTTTTGGAGACAGCACCTCACTCTATAATCCAAACTATTCCCAAACTCTGCGGCCACACTGGCCTCACACTTGCAATCTTCCTGCCTCAGCCTCTCGAGTGATAGGATTACATCCATGCACCAGTATACTTGGTTTATTTAACTGTTTTCAATGAGAATGCATTACACTTTTTTTGTGTGTGGGCTGGGGATCAAACTCATGACCTAGTGCTTGCCAGGCAGGCGCTTATGCCACTGAGCTAAATCCCCGGCAAGAATGCGTTACTTCTATAACTCTGCAAACAATTTTTAAGTGGGAGAGGTAAAGAAATGTTTGCTTACAAAGTCTGAGGAGTTGAAATTCACAAAATAAGAAACAGTTCCTTAATTTCACTTCCTATATTTCCAGCTTTCCCCCTCCTATAGTTA